TTTTTTTTTTTTTTTTTTTTAACGTTTAAAACCTTATTGTTTTCGGCTCAGTGGTCCTGAATAGACGCCGAGAATAGTCGCGAGGAGTGAGAAGTCATTTGTAGGTCAGGATAGCGACTTAAAGCAGATTTCGGGAATCTTTTGAAATATTGATCACCTCGTAGTAATCATTCCTCGCGGGCTTCTTTCCCCCCGAGCCCCGAGAAAGGGACTGCGGGGCTGGGTGCGAGGTGAGACCCGGACGCCTCTTCGGAGGAGCCGGGCCAGCTCCAGTCGTCTCGGGGTGGGATGAAATCATTTTCTGAGCCGCGAGGATACGTTTTATCTTAATAGAAAATCGGGGAATAATCAAGAAGCCACACTTTATTCTAAATATAGCCGCTCAGTGGCAATTTCTTCCCGGGAACATTAGGGACCATGCTCGGAAAGGCAGCATATATTTTGAATTAAGCTCAATATGTTCTCCCCTCTGCTCTTTGCAATGCATTTTTCTCTAGAATGCTTGTCAAAAAAATCCCTTCTTAATTTGATATCTTGTTATTGTCTCTTCCCCCCTTGTTCTTTTTCCTGATTGTTTTTGTTTTCCTTTCTTCCCTTCTTTAAGAAAGCTCCTTTGCTAGTTGCCCGTAGACCGAAATTAAACAGATTTACATTTTCTCCAATCATTTCTCCGCAGAAATGGAGCTGGACTGAGGCTTGCCGTCTTTTCTTTAGTATCAAGTACAATTTGTCTTTTGCTTGTGAAGATTTGGTAAATCAGAAGGCAGATAGATAGCGCAGATGGTCGGAGGTGTCGGGTCAGATTATGGTACGCCTCAGTACAGTGCTAAGCTCATTCTGACGGAAAACCCTGATATTATTTTCACAGATCTACACAGTTCACTTGAAAAAAACCCTTCGAGCCATTTACATCATTTATGTGAGGCTCACAGCTAGCGGGATGGAAAAGCTTTCAATACTGCTCATTTTCATAAAACCCGACAGAGCTGGGGAGACATAAAAGCACACACAAAACTCACGAGTTCAGAGGCGCTCCACAGAAACTTAAAAAAAAAATATAAGGAGAGACTTTTCGGCTTCACCTTCACCCAGGTTTGATTTGCCCATCTGCTTAGGGAAAAATAAATAAATAAAAATATAATAAATATTTTTTTAATAGAGAAGAGGATAATATCATCTATAAATATTGCTGGGTAGAGTCCCCTTCCACCTTTCCGTCCCATCACTGTCCAGTCCATCAGGGAAAAACAGGAATTTTACCAGTTCAACGAAAGATCCCAAATAACCTTTTAGGGCAGGAATTTTAAAAGCACCCCAGGTCTCCTCGATATGAGCATCGGGCTTCCCCATCGAGCGGGTGAGAAGGCGGCGACCCCGGCGGCGCCGGGCGCGTCCCCGCGGGCAGGGGCTGCCCCGCTGCCCCCCAGCCCGCCCCGCCGAGCCCTCGGCAGCGTCCCGGGACCGGAACGGTGCAGGAAAACCTCTGCTGTGGGAGAGGTGGAAGAGGGGAAAGCCTGTGTTAATGCCTAGCTAATTTAGAACGGCCAGATGATGATGATGGTTACTAATATTACTGAAGGGGTCTTTATTTTTTTTTCTTTTTTTTTTTTTCTCCTTTTTTTAAAGAATGCACATGATCTGGCGAGGGAGTTACTGGGCTGCAGCCTAATGACCATGAACAGAGGGAGACAGGCTCCATAATGAAAGCCAGGACTGTAGGCTAAAGAAATGAATCCTCATTAAGAGCAGCTCGCAGGGGCGAGGGGCTGCCCCCCAGCTCCCCAGCCTTTGTTCCCCAGAAACCGGCCCGGATGGGGCGATGCTGGGAGAGGAGAGGGAGAGAAAGAAAAGGCGACACCGATATGGAACCAGGAACCTTGTGTTAACCACTTAAAGGGTGACCTGAAAAGGGAAAGGGGAAGCCATCCCAGCTCCAATGGTTTTGCACCTTCTCCAGCTGGGAACGCTGGGGTCTGTATTCGGGAAATGGCACAGTCTGATGAGACTGGCTTGTCCCTGTCTGGAGAAGGTCCTGGGTGTCCTTGCTCTGTGCCACCAGCGCAGAGAGAGAGAGTGATCAGCTCCAACGGGGCCTTTCCATTCTTTTCCCACCCCTCTGGGAATTTTATCCATGGCCGGGATATCCATGTCAGGTTCCCCGCCGCTCCGCTGCTCCGCAGGAGCTCTACCACCGGGCCGGGCTGGGATTTCCCGCTGGAGCGCGACCCGCAGCGACCCCCAGGAGCGACCCCATTCCCGTGGGACGCGGTGCCGCGTCCGGGAAAGCCGAGTCTCCTGCGGCGCCCAAGCTCCTGGCTCAGTCCCCGTGTCTTATTAGAGCTGCCTGTGAGCCTGGGGGTGCACTCAGGCGTGTCTGCTTAGTTTCGGCCCTTTCCCCCAGTTTATTCTTCCCCCCGCCCCATATAATGGAGACACTACTCGTGACATCAACAGCCGGCAATGACAACTACTTTAATTTAGGTCACGGCTCTGACCCTTGCTACAGGTAGAGTTTACCCTACGTAGATGAACCCACTGGAGAACAAGGAGGAGAACTGCACATGAAAAAACATATAACTCAAAAATACGGCCAGCCATCCATAGCCTCCCGCTGGTCTGCATGGACGCAGTGTGCTCTCTGGCCTCAGGACAGGGCATATTCTCCCCTCCTTAAAGCAAAAATATGCTAAGCAACATACCTATACGCCTTCATATCAGTAGTTATCAGCTGTCTTGGGTCCAAGAATCTAGGTCCCTGGGGATTATTTATCTAGATGGAGCTTCCAAACGCAGCGGAGGTGCGAATACATTTTTAAAACATTTGACTGGCGTTAAGTATTGCATTAAAAATTAGCCTCGGGAAGGAGAAGCTCCACTTTAAACTCTCGGTAGGATTGTCCGAGATTTAGGAGTTCATTAAGGGATGCTTGCTGGGAGAGCCGGAGCGCGCGCAGTCCCTCGGAGGAGTACCTGGAAAATCTGGGATTTTATGGCCTTGGATGTGTCTGGGCAGGACCCGGCCTGGTGCCGCGGAGCGCTGCGGGACGGGCAGGGCTGGAGCGGGCACCGGGAAGCGGCGCCGATCCCTGCTCTCCCCGCGGCTGGCTCTTACCCCGCTCCCCCGGAGCAGGCGGGAGGGATTGTCAGCCCGAGGACAGTGCCCGCTGTCTCCTGTAGAAAAGGTTCCTGGAAATGTCAGCCCCTCCGGGGAGCGGGGACGGGGTTCTCGGGAGCGTTTCCCACCGAGTTATCCGGAAGCTTTGGTGGAGGGAGGACCTCAAGCTCAGGATGCTGTGCTGGGGGGTGCTTGGTAGGGAAACGAACCGTGTTTCGATGTGTTTCGCACACTTACCTTATTCTTTTTAAGAGTGCCATGATTGTCAAAATAACAGCCATCAATCACTCATTTTCCTCCTGCGAATAAAGCTACATTTAAAGCTGTAATCTACTTGACATCAGCAAGAGTGAGCAGGTTGCATCCTCGCTTAAGTTACTGATACCTGTTGAAAGCACCAAAGAGACCCTAAAATGCTGTCGGACAGAGAGAGATGCTCACCCACTTTTCACTCTCACACCGTATATTCATTAAATCTTTGTCCTTTGGCGTATTTAGGGTACTTTTACTGTGAAGTATCAGGCCATGGCTGGTATATCTGATGTTAGAATAAAGACGCAATGAAAACTCAAACCCCTTGAATTATTTTGACATGGGTAAGGAAAGACCTTCTTTGTACAGGGCTCTGGTCAAGACCATGGCTGCAAACGGAAAAGATCTACTACCCAAAATTTATCTTTAGTTCTCTTTAGGGTGTAGCCATGAACCTGGTTTTAAAATCTAAAATCCATCGGGATTTGTTTGGCTGCTGCTTTTACCTGCAGGTAAATACACACGGCACTAAATCTCCTTTTACACTGACATTTTCACATAAAATCTTCAATTTGTTTCTGTCCGTTTCTGTCTGGGTTTTCACTGACAATTTTGACAAAAGCAATAAACAAATTCCCAAAGTATTTAAATAAACCTTTCCTTTCCTTTCCTTTCCTTTCCTTTCCTTTCCTTTCCTTTCCTTTCCTTTCCTTTCCTTTCCTTTCCTTTCCTTTCCTTT